CAAAAGAAATTTACCAAAATTTTTTTAAAATTTTCAAATTGTATACAAATCATCATAGTAAACAACTTTACTTACTACACAAAGACTAATTTGCATATAAAAAATAATACTTTATATGAAGCTACAATCATCAACAAATTAGGTTAGATCTTTGTAATTAGTGAAAAGCTGGTGACTTTTGTCAGGGGAGTGTACAATAGTTTATAAGCAGGATATATATAACACAATAGATTTGAAAACTATCTGGTGATCTAGTAACTAGTTTAATTGCAGGGTGATTATTAAGAAGATAAAAGTCTCATATAGCAGGTTACACATAGATACTTAAATTAGTAACCAGGTAAGCTAATATATGTAATATATATTAAATAGTTGTAAATATACTTGTAATATTTATATTGAAAAAAATACCTTAGCATAAATCTAATAAACAGTATTGGCAAGACTGCCAAATTTTTTTAAAAAAAAAACATGGATTTCTAAACATAACCTGCCTACCTGGTTTTAATAAATTTTTCTTTGTCTAGAAAAATAAATTATCTAAAATTTTGTATTTAAAATTTACAAAAGCTGGTTATAAGAAACAATTAAATAACTTTATATAGCCTTATTTTAATTACATATCGTTATTTTTAATTACAATCAATAATGATCTCTGATTGGATAAATTCCAATGTCACGGATAAAATGATCTACAAGAATTAGCCAATCACAATGAAAGCCTATGTAGATATCTGATATATTTGGATGTTAGCCAATAACATGATAGCCAATAAGAAATTTATAATATGACGCGTAAACTACTTTCACTCACGATTTGTCCGATATGAACTCTGTTCCAACAACGCCAGTTCGCACACCTTCGAGACCTTATAAGGACACGTCCAATTTTATCACAGAAAATAATTTAAATAATAACAAAAAAATAACAGGGATTTCGTTTACAGAAATTAATTTTAACTATGAAGAATTACAACAAAAACTCAACTTGTTTGAAGATATAAATAGTTATGCGGATAATGTGAAAAAAAGTTTGACACTAAAAAAACAACAATGGCAAAATAATCTTGCATCAGAAAAAAGTATATTCTATTTTTTTTTTTGGTTATATTTTTCGTTAAAAAAGGGATTAAATAAATGTATTATCTTGTGAGTAGGTGCCATAGCGCGTCATAATGAAGAAATCAAATCGTTTGAGAAAAAGCAAAAGAGTTTGATTGAATGTAAGGCTAAAATATTTTATGAATTAATATTTTAATGGGTCTATTCAAATTATTTTTTTTAAGCCTTGGATAAAGAAAAAAAAGAAATTCACAAATTGCAAGCGGAAGTCTCAAATCTAAAAATTGAAGAAGACACGATAAACGAACGTAAAAATTTTTTGGTGATGCAAATAGATGCCATGAAAAAAGAAATTCAGAAACAACGCGATGGTAAGGCTTCTTAAAAAAAATTGAATACAATATTAAAATATTTAAAAATTAAACAATCTAAACAACTAACCGAATTTTCTGAACTATCAACACATTTTTTATAATAGCCATAGTAGCGAAGCAATTGTCGCTGGAAGCGCAACTCTCAAAGAATGAACCGGAATTAAAGCGGTTTGCAGATCGACTAGCTTTTACAATGGAAGGAGCGCGAGGTATATTTGTAATGATAATTCTTGTGATCTTGAGGATAATGATCGGGAAATTAATGAATAAATGGAAACGAAGTTTTCATCAATTCCCAACGTATCAGAAAAATTATTATTAATTTTGATGAGATCATAATTATTTGTTATTTTTTATTGATTATTAGATGATGCGATTATTTTCACATTCACTTGTATCTACGAGAATGATTCATCGCAACCATGTTCATTCACCCTTGATGTTGGAGGACCAATTTACACAGGTTTGAAACACATAAAATAAGTTTTAAGATCGCCACGAAATCGAGCTTAATTGCACTTTATATTCAATAGTACTTGAATGTAATCCTCCACTAGATCAGATAGAAGAGTTGGTGTCACAATTAAACACATCACGTGATTTTTATACTTTTGTGAAAAGAATAAGACAGGCTTTTCGCCTAGTGGTTGGAACCGTCTGAAAAATCATGACGGGTGGATAAATGATAAAATTCTATCTTCTATAATTATAATATGAAATTAATAAAATATTTGATGAATTGCACAAGAACTATACTAGAACTGATTCATAAC